AAAAAAAAAGAGTTTTGTTTGAGCCCTTTTAAGGGCATATAACTACCTAGGGGTGCGTTTTAGGGCACATGTTAATAGGAACTTTTTGGCTTATTTTAATGAGTTATAAACGCAGCAGAAGTTTGGAACCCTATTTTAGAAACACCCTGTATAAGTTTAACTTGCGTCTTTTTAAAGGAAATATCTATATAATCCTGATACTATACATCGTTGATTAACAAATACTGTTAAAAGATCTTTTCAAAAATATATGTATATGACGTTTACGTACTAACGTACTTATTATTAACACGCAACGTCGCCCTGGTAGGCTGTGAAACTTAATGTTGTGAAAAAATAATTGTTTTCTTTTTAGGTACAGGGAAATGTTATATAAGATATCACCCAATCCAAGCGTTGAACACAATTTTTGATAATCATATTTTCGAGTTTGCCAACTGTTCTTCGCTTTTTATTTTTATTTAGGGTTTTGAAGGACAAGTTCTATAGTGTATATTGGCGCCTCCCTTAAACAAGGGTATTTTTAATATATTATGTTTGATATTAAAATAAATAAAATGGAATTATTTCTACCTATTTCGATGTATCCATTTTAAGTAAATAACCACTATATCGTACCTTTCTGCAAATACTTTACTTCATTTTATGAGGTTAATTATTTAATTGACAGATTAGCATAATTTTTTAATTGTCAATATTCTCCCAGGACTATTACATAAAATTATACTAAAATACGTAATATCTCGAAAATTGTTAAAAATAAATGTGTCAAAAAAATTTAAAAATCCCTACAACTTTTGTCTTCGTATTTCGAGCAATAACGAAGAAAAAGTAGGGGGAAATTTTCGAGTGACCACCCTGTACTTAGTAGGTATATTCCAACTGTGTATATACTTTTTTTTACTACCATCATAATTTATACTTTTCACATTTCTATAAAGTTTAAATTTATTCATACCATCTCGTTATGTAAAAAGCTCATTCAACTTTAATAGAAATCTCAGAATATTGAGCACAAAGAGAAAAACGATAAAGGATGTTGACCATGTTTTCTTTAAAAAAATCGTAATTTGGAATTTTCAAAAAATACCTAGTTAAATAGAAGTTATATAAAAAAGTACCTTATTAGAATCTTTAGAATAGTCCTATACCAGTAATGAACTTGGGAGATAATTATTTGAAAATTTTAAAATAAATTAATTGATTTATACATTTTTTCACTCTAATAGAATTTTAAATTTTATTGCCTATGTATTTTTTTCTAAGACTTAATTATGTTTCCTAAGTATAAAAAAAAACAGTTTAGTTAACTACTTATGTTTGAAAATTCATTTGATTCAACTGAACAATTAATTACATTAAAAAAGGGTCTCGGTCTAAATTGAATATTGCTGTGGATACGAGTTATTTTTGGTCTCTGGAATAAAGTCTCGATCGTAAAATCTCCGGCAGATGGTTTGTTTGCCCGTGTTCGGCCACTCTGGCTCCCATGAAAATACTATCACCCCGCTCGCACCATTAACCCCCCAAACCAAACGGTTCCAAGGGATAGTTTCTTGACACCGTTCCTTGGAATCGTTCCTGGGAATCTTTACCGGGAACCGTTCTTTGGAACCGTTCCGAGGAACAATTCCTTGGAACCGTTCATGGGCTGTACCTTCCTTGCAAATGGGTGACATCGCTATCCGCATTGCTTTTTTATTCCACCTTTACACGTGTCTAAATATGCTAAAAAAGGGTCAAAATGGTCAAACACGAACGAACAAACCATCTGCCGCTGCGGGGGTTTTTGATGATCGGAACTTTATTCCAGACCCCACAAATATTATCCGATACAATGCAATTTGAAAAACATCCGGAATGACAAATGTCCCCTGAGTATGTGTCTTGCTGTTCGGAA